GATCCTTTCAAAATGATAGAAAAAAAATTAATGATAAAATAAATAATAATGGAGAGAAGAATAGGGGTGCCATTTTTGAAGAAGAAATTTTGACAGATTTCAGGAAGACAAAATATATACGGCAAATGTTGGTATATTAATGGCAGACCTGAGAGGAGGTGTCCACAGCCAAAAGTACAAGGGTGGGTGATGGTAGAGGACAGGGAAGAAACTGTGCATCTTCTAGGCAGGACTCCAGGCTTAATCCCAGCCCCCTCAAAAAGCAATTTTGCCCCTAAAGAAATTTAATTATTTCATTTGGGGAAGAACAGGACAGGTGGTGTGTATGTTGACATCCCAAAGTCAGGCTTTCTTATTTAGGAATATCTTGGAGAGTGGCTTGCCTCTTGAAATGATCTGCTCCCACACACAGAAACTGATAGCTTTTCTATTCCTTATCCTTGCAAATGAGTTGACAGCTAAACATGAACAAACATTTGATGGGAAAAGATAAACAAGCAATTCATAAAGCATCATTTCTATGCATTCGTTTTTTGAAAGTCAGTGGACAACTAAGGATAAACAGACATTTAAGGGAAAAATAGAAAAACAGACCATATGAAATAAAGAGAATTCAAGGAGCAAGAGATTTGAAAAGACTTTACATCCATAAGGTGAAAGCAGAAAAACCAGGATTTTTTTTAATAACAATGAGAACAGTAAATATTTCTGAGAAATTAAATTGTTAACAAAAATTTTTAAACTTTTAATTTTATAGAAAGATTAATTGAGGAATCTTCCTGTACCACTGAGCAAAACAACAAAGGAAGGATAATAAAAGATTGAAAAAGAGGCATGAAGGATAAATCCAGGAGGTCTGATAGCCAATTAAGAGAAGTTCAAGAAAGGATAAGAGAAAAACTAGGGAAAGAAGTTAGCAAAGAAACAGTAAAAGTAGGGGGCAGAAGGTGGGAACGGATAGACTGGGATTTCAAAATTGTAGAATAGATAAACAAGATTATACTGGATAGCACAGGGAAATATATAGAAGACCTTATGGTAGCTCACAGAGAAAAAAATGTGACAATGAATATACATATGTTCATGTATAACTGAAAAATTGTGCTCTACACTGGAATTTGACACAACATTGTAAAATGATTATAAATCAATAAAAATGTTAAAAAATATTGACAGACACTGAAAAAAAAAAAGAAACAGTAAAAGAAATTCCAAGGGTTGAAGAGAAACACAAATATTGATCAGAATTAATTCAAAGAAGATGAAACATCAAATCAACCAGGATAGCATTCTTGAGATTGTGGGATGGTGAGGGGAGGGAAATGCAAACAGGTAGTGAGGGAATTTGAATCAAAATGGATCAGACTTCTCATCAGCAATGAAAGATGCTAGAACACACCAGAATCAAGTCCTCGAACTATGAAGGCAAAATGATTTTGGAGCTGGAGTTCTATGTCCAGCTTAAGAATAAGAAAAAGACAACTTCCTTTTCAGACACGCAAGCATTCATAATATTTTGCCTCCCTCATACATTTTCTAAAGAATTTACTAGAGTCGTACTCCCAAAAGAGGAAATAGGTGAGGGGAGGATGGCCAAACCAAGAAAGGGAGCACTGTGGAATGTAGGAAATTGAATCGCTCACCAGGATTCCAATGAAAAGAAGCCCCTGGTAGTAAGTCTGCCACCAATCTTGAAAGCAGTTATGAAAATTGTTAAGTTTCAAGAAGATAGTCTTAAGAAAAAGAAAAAGAATTCCAAGAAATTAATAAAATGACCACTGATCTAGATGATATTTATAGTATAATAAGAACATATGTGGGGTTTTTTTTCCCCTCCCTATAAGGAAAAAAAAAAATCAAAAACTCAAGGAAATGAAATTTGTATGACACAGTCATGGCCAAAATAGAAACCAAACCAAAATATGGCATAAATTTAAGCAATCTGGAGTGGAGGCATAAGTACATTTGACCCTGATGCTAAGAATGTTCTCTTTTGACTAAGCAAAAGGACTGTGATATTGGACCCGAAAAAAAGAAAATCCACACTACATAGTTTTGCACTAAACAATATCACCATAATGTAAACGCTGATTACTGGCCTTCAGTTTTCAGAAGCATTCGTAGACAAAGCATAGAAAACCAAGCAGCTACAAGACAGAATGTAAATGTTATCCACATTGATAATGTAAAAAAGATTTAGCCAGACAGAAATAAGGAGATGAAAACGGAGGAGGAAAAGAAAGGGAAGGCTTAGGAAGATAATACATTCATCTTGCAAAATGAAAGGTTAAGAGATACAGCTGAAAACAGTG